TAGGAACAAAAGAAAACTTAAAGCCAATATTCTTGACGAACATGGATGCAAAAATCACCAAAATACATGGAAACCAAATCCAATAGCATATCAAAAAGCTAATCTACCACAACCAGGTAGGCTTCATCCCTGGGATGCAAGGTTGGTTCAACATATGCAAATCAGTAAATGTGACATCACATAAACAGAATTAAAGACAAAAACCACATGTTTATCTCAATCGATGCAGAAAAGGCTTTTGATCAAACTCAATACCGCTTGATGTTAAAAACTCTAAATATACTAGATATTGAAGGAAAACTTCAAAATAATAAGAGCCATCTACGACAAACCCACAGTCAACATCATACTGAATGGGCAAAAGCTGGTAGTATTTTCCTTGAAAACTGGCACAAGACAAGGATGCTGTCTTTTACCATTCCTATCCAATACAGTGTTGGAAGTCCTAGCCAGAGCAATCAGGCAAGAGAAAGAACATCCCAAATAGGAAGAGAGGAAGTCATTCTATCCCTGTTTGCAGATAACATGATTCTATAGAAAACTCCATAGTGTCGGCCCAGAAGCTCCTTCAACTGATAACATCAGCAAACTTTCAGGATACAAAATCAGTGTGCAGAAAGCACTAGCATTTCTTTATACCAATAAGAGCCAAGTCAAGAGCCAAATCAGAAAGGCAATCCCATTCACAATTGCCACAGAAAGAATAAAATACCTAGGGATACAGCTAACCAGGGAGGGGAAGTGAAAGATTTCTACAATGAGAATTACAAAACACTGGTCAAAGAAATCAGAAGATAAAAACAAATGGGAAAACATGCTCATGGATAGGAAGAATCAGTATCATTAAAATAGCTATACTGCCCAAAGCAATTTACAGATTGAATGCTATTCCTATCAAACTACCAACAACATTTTTCACAGAACTAGAAAAAACTATCTTAAAATTCATATGGAACCAAAAAAAGCCTGAGTAGCCAAGGAGGTCCTAAGCAAAAAGAACAAAGCTGGAGGTATCACGTTACCCAACTTCAGACTATACTGCAGAGCTACAGTAACCGAAACAGTCTGATACTGGTACAAAAACAGGCACATAGACCAATAGAACAGAGAACTCAAAAATAAGGATGCACACCTATGAATACCTGATCTTCAACAAAGCTGATAAAAGCAATGGGGAAAAGATTCACTATTCAATAAATGGCGATGGGATAACTGGCTAGCCATGTGCAGAAAATTGAAACCGGACCCCTTCCTTACAGCATACACAAAAATCAACTCAAGATGAATTAAAACTTAAATGTAAAACCCAAAATTCATAAAAATTCTAGAAGAAAACCTAGGCAATACCATCCTAGACATAGGAATGGGCAAAGATTTCATAACAAAGACATCAAAAGTAATCCTATCAGAAGCAAAACTGACAAATGGGATCTAATTAAACTTGAGAGCTTCTGCACAGCAAAACAAACTAATGGAGTAAACCAAATGACCTACAGAATTGGGAGAAAATAATTGTAAACTATGCATCTGACAAAGGCATATCAAGCATCTGCAAGGTATACTTACATTATAAGACAAAAACAACTCCATTAAAAAGTGGGCAAAGGGCATGAACAGATACTTTACAAAAGAAGACACGCGGCTAGCAAGCATATGAAAAACTCAACATCACTGAGGATTAGAGAAATACAAATTGAAACCACAATGAGATAGCATCTCATACCAGTCAGAATGGCTATTACTAAAAAGTAAAAAGAAAAAAATAATAGATGCTGGCAAGGTTGCAGAGAAAAGGGAAGACATACACTTTTGTTGGGAGTGTAAATTAGTTCAACCATTGTGGAAAGCAGTATGGAGATTCCTCAAAGTCTAACAGCAGAACTACCATTGGGCCCAGCAAGCTGATTACAGAGTCTATACCTAGAGGAATAAAAATTATTCTACCATAAAGACATATGTGCGCAAATGTCCATTGCAGCATGACTCACAATAGCAAAGACGTGGAATCAACCTAAACGCCCATCAGTGACGGATTGGATAAAGAAAATGTACATATACACCATGGAATACTGTGCAGACATAAAAAGGAGTGAGATCATGCCTTTTGTGGGAACATGGATGGAGCAGAAGCTGTTACCCTAAGCAAACACAGGAACGGTAAAATGAAATATCTCATGTTCTCATTTAAAAGTAGGAGCTAAGTGATGAGAACTCAAGAACACAAGGGAACAACAAACACTGGGATCTTCTTGAGGATGGAGGGTGGGAGGAGGAAGTGGAGCAGAAAAAATAACTATTGAGTATCAGGCTTAATTCCTGGATGATGAAAGTATCTGTAAAAATAAACCCCTGTGGGCCAGGTGCAGTGGCTCATGCCTGTTATCCCAGCACTTTGGGAGGCCAAGGCAAGTGGATCACCTGAGGTCTGGAGTTTGTGACCAGCCTGGTCAACATGGTGAAACCCCATCTCTACTAAAAATACAAAATTAGCTGGGCATGGTGGCACATGCCTGTAGTCCCAGCTTACTTGGGAGGCTGAGGCACGAGAATCACTTGAACCTGGGAGGCAAAGGTTGCAGTGAGCTGAGATGCCGCTACTGCACTCCAGACTGGGGACAGAGCAAGACGCTGTCAAATAAATAAATAAATAAATATAAATAAATATGTAAACCCCTGTGATAATGAGTTTATCCATATAGCAAACCTTCACATGTACCCCTGAACCTAAAATTTAAAAAAATCCTGTAATACCAGCTTTTGGGGAGGCCAAAGTATGAAGATCACTTGAGCCCAGGAATTCAAGACCACCCTGGGCAACACAGTGAGACTCTATCTCTAAAAAAATAAAAAGTTAGCCAGGCAGGGTGATGCATGACTGTGGCCCCAGCTATTTGGAAGGCTGAGATGGGAGGAATGCTTGAGCCTGGGACATCAAGGGTGCAGTGAGCCATATCTGCACCAGTGAATTCCAGCCTGGACAACAGAGTGAGACTCTGTCTCAAATAAATGAATAGTATGTCAGTCATATTATCTACATTTTGAGTGCTCAGTAACTGCATGTGGCTAGTTGCCACCATATGGGACTTTACCAGGTATAGAACATTTCCATTGTCAAAGTTCTTTTGGATAGCTTCAGAGAGCCTGTGTACCTACCATTTCACCTTGCTGTGTCTTTTTTTCCCTTTGGAATTGGGTGGGGCAACTAAGCATAACCTGACAATTTGGAAATACTTGCTTATAAGTTCTGGATATGGTTCTTAGAATATATAATTAGGTACATTTATTCTACATCTCACTGTTTTCAAAATGAGAAAAAACAACTTTTATTCTCTAAAGGGTGGTGTGCAGATAATTTCCTAGAATGGAGCTTATGATCTATGTTGTTGTCATGTTCATTTCCCAGGATAAAATCCTAAAAGAATTAGTGGGTGAATAAGTGTGAATATATTTAACCCTCTGTGAAATTAGTCCACTTAATCACTACTATTTGAGAATTGTGTAAGAAGAACATGTTCCCTTGACAGTATTATTTTAAAAACTACTTCTAAAGGAAAATTACAGTGCTTTGTTTTAACTTTTATTTATTACTAGAGAGTCTAAAGTCTGTCTTTTTAAAAAAACAATTCATATTCCTTGTGATTATAGTTCATAACAGAATGGATAAACCAGTAGTTTTTTGCAGATAATGTTTACTGTATGAAAGCAGTCCAAGTGGTATATGAGACTTTTGTAACTCTTACTGTTTGGTTTGTGGTTTACTGATATATTACTTTTATTCGCAATGAGCCAGCTGTAATTGTAAAGAAAAGTTGTTATTGTGTGCTCAGTAACCATAAGAGTCATTTTACATCGAATAGAATTGTTACCATGTTATCTGATGAAGTTATTCTTTTCTGCTGTTTTGTGTTTAGGGTATTGCAATACAATGTTCTGACTGCAATATATTGCAGTGTTAAATGTCATTAAAAATAGTCACAACTGATAAGTATTACAACAGAATGCTTATAAATGTCCTTAAATAGCCCTCTTAGGGGAAATTGACTTCTTTTTTTCTACCATGATTCTTTGATAAAGAAACTAATGGAGTAAAGTAGAGGAAATGTTGAAATCCCCTGAAGTATAGTGGCAATTGAATTCACACAGCTAGTTAACATTAGCTCTGGGACTAGAACTCAGGTTTCCTGACTCCTTGTCAAGTTACTTTCTACCTGGCAATCTCCTATTTCAGTTAATCACATAAATGCATTAGAATAGACAATATCTGTTTAAGCATAATGTCCCTCATTTATATGTAGATCACTGATGGACATTAGTCTATCCATACAGCAGCAGCTGCTAGAGATAATGTACAGTTTCACTCAATGAGAGAGGTAGGAAAGGCTGAGGGTGTTCTGGAGTGATGGGGTAAGTGAAGGGGGTCAAGACTCACCTGGAAAGGCCACTCTATGCCAAGAGCTCTCCTTTGGCCTGGGGCCAGTGCCTTCAGTGACTCAATTATGGATGGATACGGACTCACCACATTTGTTCTCACTGACCCATAATATAGATCATACTTTGCCTTTCAATCAAGCTAAACTAGAGACTGGAAACTTTCTGTGAAGAGAACACATTTTTGATACACTGGTGTTCGTAGCTGTTAGTAATAATTTGAAAGTGACAAGCTAGATAAGACAGCACGATACACGCATACTGGGAGAATCTCATGAAGCTTTGGAAACTGTCTAGAATCCTATGATTTCATATATGCAGGAGTGTATCTCTGTTAATTTTCCTATCCTTCAATAGCCTGCCACAATACGTTGCTTATAGTGTGCACTAAAGAATTACTGCTTTGAAATTTCTTAGCAACTTGTTAATAGACCACTTCTAGGATTTGGGAATAATCTATGAGGTAGGATGAAGCAGGACATCTAAAGGAAGAGAAGTAAGGCTAAGTGGTTTAGGAAACTATTTGTGACATAGATTCTGTTAAACTCTACTAAATACCTTCTTTCTTCTAGGAAGTTTGTGTGTATGTTACAGCCCGAAGTGTGCTGCTTGGGAACAAATCACGTATTCAGTGTTTTACATTCACAAAGGTACTTTTCATGTCTTCTTTGTTACTTTACATAATAACTTTTTCCAAATAGCAAGTTAGATAGCTCTTAACAGTGATGTTATTAGTAATTTTTTGGTTTTGTCACCCAGGCTGGAATGTGGTGGCATGAACACTGCTCACTGCACCTTGATTGGTTTCAGGTGATCCTCCCTCCTCAGCCCATGAAGTAGCTGGGACTGCGGGCATGTACCATCATGCCTAGCTAATTTTTGTACTTTTTGTAGAAATGGGGTTTCACCATGTTTCCCAGGCTTGCCTTGAACTTCTGAGCTCAAGTGATCCACACGCCTCAGCTTCCCAAAGTGTGGTGATTACAGGCATGAGCCACCATGCCCAGCTGAGAGTATTATTACCTTGTAATTCAATTTTTATCAGTTCATTCTATACCTGTATACTTATAGGATACATGTTTCCAAAAGAAAGTCACCAATGGTGGATATCAAGTTAGCTAGTTATTTTTATATATCATATGTTTTTATCCTGGCCTGTATCTTTTTCTAGGCTTGTGGACCAATCCTAAGGGAGGTATTTACCAAAAGTGTGCTTTCTTTTTAGTTATTGCTTATTGGAAAATAGCTATAGATTTAACTTACAGAGTTACATATGGTTTTAGTTAAAGGCGTCCATGATATCAGACCTCAACAGGTTTTAGATCTAAGATACATTTATTCCATTTCACACATCTATAGCCCAAGATACTGATAAACAGTCTGCGGAGCAGCAGTCAAATGCCTAATATCTCCTGATTCTGTAGTTGATCACAGTGTGCCCTGTAGTAGTTTTAGTTTGAACAATGCTAAGGAGTAGTTGTTTTGTTTGTTTAGTTACTTAAAGTGAGTGTGTGTGTAGTACATACTGTGGGTGTATTTAAATATTTTTAAGATGAAAAATTTTTAATAAAATGCCAAGCCATATCAGAGCTGCTTACTCTATAGATGGACCTAATATTGTCTCCCAAGGTTAGAGATCAATGTAAAAAAGTTTTAAATTAACTTTAGAACTAACATATATACTACTCATACTTAAATTGTCTAAGTTTGAGGTTTTTGTGGAAAATTTTCACACATTTTTCTAATGATTAATCTAGTGATCAAAACCAGTAAATAAAATAATACTTTTCTGAAGAGTAAGAGTTAGAAAAGTAGAGAGGAAAGCCCAATACACTGAGGTTATTAGCTCGACTAATTCCCTTCCTACCTAAAAGTGGGATTTGTAAATAATTTGGCGAAGCCTCAGAGGGTCTTAATGACTGCATGTGTGTGACAGTGAGCCTTGAGGAATTATGGCCAATGAGCCATCTGGTCATCTCTTTCTCTTGGATCCTTCAGTAAATTCCTTCAGATCCTCTGCTCCCTGAACAATTCACTCGTCATGGTCTAAGATTATAATAAGCCCAGAACAACTACTGGAGTGTGACTGTGACTGCACTCAGATGATCTGCCTTCAATGCTGGTTTTTGGAGAATGAGGAGAACCATGAAATCTAGAAGTCAGAAGATGCCTGCTTACCAGTTTCATGGTCACTGAAATTTATAGAGTGTTACATAATCACTGCCTTGGGTGGAGTTCCAGTTCTTGGTTTAGCATTCTCTGGCTTCATGTTCTCTCTTTGCAGGACATAGCAAGACCTTCACCACTTCTCTCAAGAATGTTGACTCACACATGACAAAGGGCATTACTTTTCTCAACCTTGGTGAGTGATGGAGAGATCACACCCCCTGCTCTGAACCCTTCTTCCTGGGCATGGTATACCTTAGCCTTACATGCTATCCCATTTGTCATGCCTCTTTGAGACTTGGATTGTGATGACAATCAATGACCCACTTGAAGTCTTACTAGAGAAGATTTTCTCTGGAACACACCCCTCCCTCTGAGCTCCTTAGTCTTTGGCTTGAAAGGATTGGGGGAGGTGTCCTCCCTTTTCAGAGAACCTAGGCTGTGAGCTTTCTTATGTTTTTGGTAGTAGTCTAAAAAGTCACTTGTTAGCATAAAAATGACTTGTATGAGATATTACTGAGTAGCCCATAAGAATATATCATGTTGTCCCTTGATTATAGAAAATACAGGGGCCTCTGGGAAATTGTCTATTTCTTGCTGCTAATCTTGAAAAGCTTCCAAATTCCATTAATGATTTATGGATCAGCTTGAGTGAGTTGTTTTCATTCAGCAAATATGGCGAAGGGAACCTGAGGATAATGAAGAAAATAAAGAAACGGTTTTTTGTATCTCCCTCCTGAAAGCTGCTTTTCCATGCCAGTTGGGATGTGGGGCACAAACAGTTTAGCTCAAGACTAAGTAACTGTTTACTTGCTTGCATATGGAACATGGTATATGGAACATTTCCTTTAAAAAAGGAGCTTTGGGTTGAGAGCACATAACTCTTTTATATCTTTTTCCATCCCTATTCCATAGTCCATCCACTGTCACGACCCAGGTTTGGGAGAGTACAATGTGAGGAAACTGAGCAAAGTGGTTTTTATTTTGAATGATACTATTGATGACGTTGGATACTTATGCTGAGTGGGCTAGTAATGGGCAAATTTTAACATGATCTCTGAATCTGTGGGAAATTGCCTTAGGGAAGCCTGGTTCCACTGCTTCCTGTGATAAGAGAGATAAATACTATAGAAGGTTTCCTGGGTCTGGGACTTGATTCTTATCAGCAATGCTTTATCAACATCCCATCTCAAGAGTGATATGGGAAACTTTCCACTAAGAAAACAGTGTTTTGTGAGGGCAAAGGTATCCTTCCTTTTTTTGCCCCTGGGAATGACTTGCAAAGGCAGGAAAGATTTAATCTGTGGTCTTCAGCTTGTGGAGAGGCCAGCAATACAAGCTTTGTAAAAATAGGCTGTCTTACATACGTTGTCTTTCCTTCTTAAGCATATTTTATAGGCACAAAATCATACCCCGGTTTAAAGCTGTTCTACAGGTAGTTTTTATGATAACAGTATTGCTTTTTGAGTAATATATTTTTTGATATTAATTGCATGCAATTTCCGTAGACTGTCATCCTATTAAAATGGGCTTATATTGATTAAAATATTAAAGAAAAATTTTTTGAATTTTTTCATGAACCCCAAGCACTTTGATTAAAAGATATATTTATAAATAAGCTACTATTTATTTAATGAATACTATATGTTAAGTATATTTTACTTGTTATTTTGCTCCCTACAGCAATTCTGATGGATAATGATACGGAGGCTCAGGATGAGCTGTGTGCTCAGGCGTATTTCAGTGTCTTTTATCAGGGACACTAGATTATTAATATTTTCTTTAAACATTTTGTTATTTTGTTTTCTTAGCATTTTATTTCAACTAAAACTTCATCAAGTATTTTGTTTAGAGGTGTTGTTTTAGTATTTTTCTCTAAAGCAGTCCAGAATAAACTGAGAGAAAATGAAGTGAAATGATCCTGTAAGTCACCCAAATGGTATGCAACATAACTGCCCAAACTAGAAAAGATAATTGGTGGTGTCAGTGGTACAATCCTAGAGTATGTAATTTAAAAATATTTATTCATAGAATTTGATTTTTATCTAATAGCATTTTTTGATTCAGTAGTCTTATATTTTTAAAATATAAAGCTTTAGTCTAAATGTTTTAAAATATTAAAGTTTTAACTAAATATGGGTGACTAAAGTATTTTCTTGAAATTATAAGAATTAAAATATCCATTTTACATGTGTATGACTGTACCTATAGCCTCTGCTTATGTGTAGTACCTTTTCTTCTCCATATAAGATCTTTATTAGAAAAGTCAACAAATAAAATATAACAAATTTCTACAGAGTTCTTTCATCAAATCTTCCTAGCAAACTTGTTTGTTTGTTTGAGACAGGATCTTTCTCTGTCGCCCAGGCTGGAGGCAGTGGTATAATCTTGGCTTACTGCAACCTCTGCCTCCTGGGATGAAACCATCCCCCACCTCAGTCTCTGAGTAGCTGGGATTATAGGCACATGCCACCATGCCCTACTAATTTCTTGTGATTTTCATGGAGATGGGGTTTTGCCATGTTGGCCAGGCTGGTCCCGAACTCCTGATGTCAGGTGATCTACCTGCCTCAGTCTCCCAAAGTGCTAGGATTACAGGCATGAGCCACCGCACACAGTCAATAAGCAATACTCCACCTTATTTTGTTTTTAAGTGACACATAGTAATTGTATATATTTATGGAGTAAAATATGGTGTTTTGATACCTATATACATTGTGGAATGATCAAATCTGGTTAGTTTGCATATCCTTTATTAGTTTATTATTGCTGCTGTGACAAATTACTGCAAACTTGGAGCTTCAAACATCGCAAATGTCCTCTTACAGTTCTGTAAAGTCGGAAGTTTGAAATGAGTCTTGAAAGGGCTAAACCAAAGTGTGGGCAGGACTGGTGCCTTCTGGAGGCTCCAGGGAAGAATTTGTTCCCTGCGTCCTCCCTCCAGCCTCTAGAGCAAGCTTGTCCAACCTGTGGTCTGTGAGCTGCATATGGCCCAGGATGGCTTTGAATGTGGCCCAACACAAATCTGTAAACTTGTTTTAGAACAATTTTTTTTAAGCGAATCAACTGTCAGTAGTGTATTTTATGTGTGACCTAAGACAATTCTTCTTCTTCCTCTTGTGGCTCAGAGAAGCCAAAAGGGTGGACATCCCTGACTAGAGGCTAGTATTTCTTGGCTTGTGGCCACTTCATTCCAACTACTGTCCTCATTGCACGGTCGTCTTCTCTTCTCTAGACAAATCTCTCTCTCATAAGGACTTTCGTGCCTACCTGGGTCTGCCTGGGTATTTCAGAATAGTCTCCCCATCTCAAGATCCTAGTCACATCTGCAAGGTCTCTCTTACTGTGTTCACAAGCTCTGGGGATTAGCCCATGAATATCTTTAGGCACCATCATTCAGCTTGCCACAGATACTATTGACCCTTTTGGTGAGACAATAATTCCCTGCTCATTGAGGGACTGAACATCCATCCCTGGAGCCCACTCACCAAATGCCAAATAGGAATCTCCCCATTCCTCGCTTAATGATGTGACTGCCCAAATCACTGTCATATATTTCCAAATGCCACCTTGCCAGGGACATAGTGCCATCCTAATTAACTGGTTAAGTGGTACCGTGAGGCGTTAACTAGGTTATCTGATACTGACACCCTTTCCATGTCCCACCATATTGTTGTTTGTGTTTTTCTAGTAAAATGTTGCCATAATAAGATGATTGCAACCATTTGGGCTAAGCACTTTAGCATCATTTAATCCACGTTGACTGAAAGGACACTTGTAAGTCAACTGGTTTGAGTTTTATATCCTCTTCTTTCCACAGAACGCCTTCTATGCAAATGATTAGCATGTGTTCTTTTACTTCTTAGGAAAAGGAGTCTAGCTGGCTCACTTATAATCTAAATGTCTCATCTATATAAAATTACTACTGTGTGAATTTCTGTTTTTTAAGATCCTAGAAAAAGTATTGGCAAGGGATAACTTCTATCCTTCCATTCTCCAGAAACCTATTTTTTATACCTTGTCTCTGAGTGCAAATGTTCTTGTTACAAAAATATCTAGTGCAGGGACTGAAGGTGTGAATTCTAGTCAGCTTGATATGCAAGGAAATAAATTAGTGATTCACCAAGTGTCAGTGTGTCTATAGAGATTGATCTGATGAATATCGATTTAAAGGTTCTCTAAACAAAATGCTCCTGCTACTGATGACGATGATGATCAGTGGATGAACATGGGCAACCAAATTTTAGAGCTTCTCCAAACTGGCAGAAATTATGAAGAAAATTCCCAATATAAGCTCTTTCCAGCTTATCAGATTAAGGAGTAATTCGTGTTTCTTGATGTTTTTTATTCTAGTTTGCTCTGAGATCATTTAGATTCACATAAAGCCACAAATCACTTAGAAACAAAACTGCATTTATAAATTAAGATAACCATAGGTAAATATCTGAAGAAAATTAACCATAGATAGGAATAAATGAGGCTTGGCTAGTAAGAGAAATGTGGCTCGTCATGGTGGCTTATGCCTGCAGTCCCAGCACTTTGGGAGGCCGAGGCAGGAGGATTGCTTGAGCCCAGGAGTTCAAGACCAGCCTGGGCAACATGGTGAGACTCCAGCTCTATAAAAAGAAAATATATTAGTGGGGTGTTGTGGGTGCATGCCTGTAGTTCCAGCTATTTGAGAGGCTGAGGTGGAGAGGATCACTTGAGCCCAGGAGTTTGAGGCTACAGTGAACTGAGATCACTCCACTGCACTCCAGCCTGGGTGACAGAGTGGGACCCCTGTCTCGAAAAGAAAGAAAAGGAAAAAAAAGAAATGGACTTTCATTAGATAACTTGTTATTACACTGGTAAAACTTTTGTCTTTTGAGATACTCAGAGAAAAGTAGAGATAGAGTGATGTTCTGTACCTGTGCAGCTCTTACCACATGTAGATGACTTAAATCTTTCTCTTCTATAGACTATTATGTGGCTGTTTACTTACCTGGTCATTTCTTCCACCTACTTAATGTTCAACATTCAGACCTGATCTGCCACAATCTCTTTCTGACAGGTATGGCTGTAGTTTTTCTCTTGTAGAGGTGGCCTATTTGAGTTTGTTTTGACATTAATATCTATGTTTGGGTGAAAGGAGTTTATTTGCTGATCTACTTCTTTTTTTCTTTGCCAGGAAATAATGAAATGATTGATATGCTACCTCACAGCCCTTTACAGTCACTGTCAGGGTCCCTGGTACTGGATTGTTGTTCTGGAAAGCTGTATAGAGCAATGCTCAGCCAGTCGTCTTTATTACGGCTCCTGCAGAACACCCGCTTAGACTGTGAGAAGATGGCCACATTGCACTGTGCGCTCTCCTGTGGTCAAGGCGCGCAGTTCCTGGAAGGCCAGGTGAGAAGATAGTTCATGTTTCAAAATGGGCAGATAGACAACACTGAACATACTTATTTTGTGGTTGAAAATGGTCAGGAGTTATTTTTATTTAGTGACAATTGAAGTGTATGGCCTTTCTGCTGACTCGAACATCGTCGCCTTTTGTGCCGCTTTGTAACAGATCCCTACCAGATCTCAGACTGAGGGTGTTTCTGTTCTTTTGGGTACTCCCTTTTCTGTATTGGTAATAAATGTTTAGCTGTATCAGTAACATTCCAATGAAGAGCTCAGTAAATAATGAGTTTCTTAAATATCTACTTTTTCTTCTGGTCTGTATTTGATCTATAATTATCAAAAGGACTAAAATCTGGTGGCAGATATTTATTATGTTTTTGATAAAGATAGCTTACATTTGTATTTCACATTAGAGTTTATTAAGTACCTCTACGCACATTCTGTGTTATTTTGTTTTACAGCTATCCTGTGAAGTCAGAGAAATTGCCTCATCAGATGTGGTTAAGATCAGTGAAAAGCTGGTTAACTACAAAAAATTAAAAAAGACATTAGTTGTTTTATTTTAACCTAAAACATAAAAATGCACATTATTCACTCAGGTTTTGACTCAAGCCTTTCTTTGGGCATCTGCTAATTGAAGTTCAGCATCTTTTTTTTTTTTTTTTTTTTTTGCATAAAAGCATTAGTAATGAGGTATCGCTAACTTCCTGTTACTTTTTAAAAATTTTTATTTCTAAGGATATAGTAATTTAAAGACCCTTACAAGGCAATCTGTATATCAGGCATTTTTTTAAAACAATCTTTTATAATTGTTTCCCCTAGACCTTGTTTTTTAGTGTTTGAGAGACATGCCTTTGAGTCTTTCCAAAGCATTCAACTTTTACTGACCCAACAATACTCTCCGCATCCACATTTTACTTGTCTATAGTAATATTGTATTAAACTACCTAATTTTGAAAATAAGTACAAAAACATAAATAGGTTTTGAATAAAACAGCTTACTGGTAGTAGCAGAAGTGCAAGTATGCACCATGGCTTGGCGTGCCTTATAATATCTGTCAGTTCTGAGATGACAAACATTCCTCTAGCAGGTGAGGATGATTATGGAGATGAGAGAGTTGATGGTATAGCAAGGGTTATCCCTCCCTCAGGAGGCAGTACTGCCATGCTCACAAAGATTAACTGGTGTGTCCCTATTTACAACGGAGGGCCCAGCTGGAAATCACGCCCAGCTCTGCTGCCTCCAAGCCTAGTGGTTTTGTTTTGCTTTTTTCTCCTGCATCCCACAGCTCTTTCCACTAGTGCTTTGGTATAACATGACCTATTCTAATAAAAGCATTAGGTCGAAGAACGTTTATTTGGATCTCCGCCAAGGACATTTATTAAAAAGATGTATAAAAAGGATCTCACTTACATACTGTTTTTCTACCCAGGATTGCATTATGTATCTTGAAGATAGTGTAGAAGTTAGTGTATTCTTAGGCAATTCCAAAATAGATATAGAATGCAAAAGATTCATGTATATTTGTACTTCTTTGGTAATGGAGGCAGAGAGCAGATTTAAATACCAACAGAGTTCTGTCTGACTTTTTAAAGATTATTCAATGGATTTCTGAGAATGTCTCTGCCTGCCATTCATTTGACCTCATTCAGGAATTTATAATTGGTAAGTGTTGCTGATGTTGCACCTTAAGTTGAATAGTTGACCTTTTTGCTTGAGGGAAAGCAGTAAATTGATAATGAATGCCTCAACCTGTCCAAATGCTGCTTAGGAGAACATTTTTTTTTAATGCTGTTGCAGTCGGCAGCTAATTAAATTTCATTCTCTTGTGGTTTTCTAGGTAGCTATGGCTGTACAGAGATTGATGAGATACAAGATAGGATTTTGATTCTATAACCTTATTAGTGATTTATTTTTCCAGTAAGATGTGACTTTTTTAGCCCAGTTTTGTGTTGACTGGTTTTGTATGAAGTGATATAATGTCATTTGGGTAGATATAGTACTAAATTATTGTTCTCATTGTAAAAAGCAGAACCTGAACATTTTAGTCAGTAGATAAAATTTTAATGGTTACCTTTTTGAGGATGAGGGATAAGACAATGAAAACTTGGTTGGTTTGCTTGTTTTGGTTGAATTACAATGCTGACTGTCTTTGTCATATTAAACCATATCCTCCCACCCCTTTAAAAAAATCTATGCAGCTTCTTCATATTGGAGTGTATATTCAGAGATAAGTAACGTGGACAAACTATTGCCACATTCCTCAGTGCTCACCTGGAATACAGTAAGTTAACACTGTGTGTGCTATCTGCAAATAAAATCAATTCACAGTTGTGGGTTAGTTGTTGGACATCCTTCTTATAATCATCAAGGTCATGATTTCACTACTGTTTTCACTGATAAAGAACTGAGTTGGATTTTTTTTTGGCATAAAAGTAATAGCGAATCCCTGCCACTGGCCAAAAGCATTTCTATAAAAACAGTAAAACTGAAGGGGCAGGCACACAGGGTATTTATTTATTCTTTCTACTACCAGGCAGAACTAAACCTCTATTGTGGTATTTTTATTTTCTAAGTGACTAGACTGGATTGAAATATGAACTGGTTTATATATGTGAGGAATGGCTGGATCGCTGCTATTATACTTGGTAGATAACGACCTTCATGAACCCTCTTTTGAGCCCCATTAAAAATCTGTAATAACTCTATAGAGTTTCAGGATCAGTAAAAGTCAGCAATCTTAGGCACACTAACCTCATTTGACCTTTCCTTCATGTCTGTTTGGACTGCCTCCTTTTAAATGAGGACATGCTGACCTAAAACACTGCTCATTTTCTCTTGAATGTGATGCAGTAGACAGACCTTTGCTAGCCCAGCAAGTGAAAACCATGCATAGGCTGTACCTGAAAAAGTTGTGCCTCTTGTTTCTTTTTTTTTTTTTTTTTTGGGACGGAGTTTCGCTCTTGTTACCCAGGCTGGAGTGCAATGGCACGATCTCGGCTCACCGCAACCTCCGCCTCCTGGGTTCAGGCAATTCTCCTGCCTTAGCCTCCTGAGTAGCTGGGATTACAGGCACGCGCCACCATGCCCAGCTAATTTTTTTTTTGTATTTTTAGTAGAGACGGGGTTTCACCGTGTTGACCAGGATGGTCTCGATCTCTTGACCTCGTGATCCACCCGCCTCGGCCTCCCAAAGTGCTGGGATTACAGGCTTGAGCCACCGCGCCCGGCCGTGCCTCTTGTTTCTTACTTAGATACTAGAACTACATGCTTGCTTTTGAGGCAGAAGTTTATATCAAAAAGGTATTTAGAAAAATAAATTGAATTTAAATAACACAATCATAGGAAACTATGTACTAGGATAAATGATGGCTCTTTTTTATGTTTAGACTCTGTCTAAGTATAGCCTTTAAAAAAGATGTATCAAATGTGTTTGATTAATTTCTAAATTTTTGGTATGCACAGTGGCAGTGCTTTCCTAAAGGCCCTTTTTTTGTTTTTTACTGTCATGGTTATTAGATTTTTATGCCTCATCTTAGAATTCTAAGGGAAAGGATTGAGCTTGTTTCCTCTCTAGGCACCCCCATTTTTCTTTCGGAGCACATGAGAATAGACATGCAGGCCCTGTGGTCATGGCAGAAAGTCTGCAGGTTACACCACCCTGGAGTCAGGAAATGCATATCTCCGCTCCCTCCCCTACCAACCCCCTGCTGTTATGTCCTGTGTTCAAAGTGTCCAGGAGGCACCTGGGACCACTAGTTCCCAGGGTGTGTTAAAAGATTGAGCCACATGTTAATTGGATGTGATATGAGAATATCACCCTGAGGGCAATGCTTCCCTTTTGCACTTCTCAAGATTCTGCAGGGCGGAGCAGCTGTCATGAACAGGCACAGGGTGACATTAGGAGGTCCCACAGGAAGTGTGACATAAACCTGCGGTTATAACCTCCCTGTACTGAACTAATCTTGAGGTTTGCCATGTTGCTTTAAACTTCTTGTAGTGGTTGGACTAGGTTACCTTAAAGGTCTCTTCTAATCTTGAAAATCTGAGTCTATCCTTATCAGCTATGATATAATTTATTTTTCTCTTAATCTAATCTGCAAATGTTCTTAATGCTACAGCCTTAATAAAAAGTTGCCACAGGAGGAAACATGGATTTCACACTTTTGTAGGAGACAACTGGATTTTTTAAGATAATAGAAAATATGATGCCCTTACACATAGATAATCCTGAATTATGTTTTGCAAACAACTATACTACCGCATTTAAAATGCTATTTATAACCTAAAACCATAATAAATTTTAATTTTTTTTGAGGTATCCTCTGTAATGATAAATGAAGCTCACAATAGATTCATATCAAGGCTTTCTACTGTCACAATGAAGAACTCAGTTGTTTGCATGTTCTGAACATTTTTCTCTATGATACCCATTTTCACAGGAATATTCTCTATCAGTAAAATCCAGGTCATTTAAGTTCTAGAAAAATACCAATTTTTATTTCTTCATTACATCTCCTGAAATATTTTCTTATATATTACCTATTTTTTTTTTAAGGAAATGAAAACTGATTTGACCAGATGAGAAGCTAATTACATAATTAACATACAGATATAATTTTCAAAATAGTGAATAAAGGGCCATCTTGAACATTTATTCATTTATATTTTTATTAAATTTGTTTTAATGCTCACTAGTTAGCAGAATGCTATCATTTGCCCTTCCTGAAATGAATTGTTCACCTCTCAGATTTGCTATGATGATAGTGCTGCAGAAATTTTTTTTCCTTTGGAGACAGAGTCTCACTCTGTCGTCCAGGCTGGAGTGCAATGGTACAATCTCAGTTCACTGCAACCTCCGCCTCCCAGGTTCTGGTGATTTTCCTGCTTCAGCCTCCTGAGTAGCTGGAAATACAGGCACCCACCACCATGCCTGGCTAATTTTTTTGTTTTTTTAGTAGAGATGGGGTTTCACCATGTTGGCCAGGCTGGTCTTGAACTCCTGATCTAAAGTGATCTGCCAGTCTTGGCCTCCCAAAGTGCTGGTATTACAGGCATGAGCCACTGCACCTAGCCACTGCAGAAACTTTTTATGGGGAGCTCTTACCTCTGACATTACAGAGGACAATGAGGTACAGAAAAATTATCCAGTCAAGTCATGCAAGAATCCAGTTAGTCTTGGTTCCTTCTAGTGAGGTAAGGGCTAACTATAATACATTTAAGTGAAAGAAGAAGAGAGAGGAAGGATATTGATAGTGAAAGTTTTCCCCTTTATCACATTTGGTGCAAACATAATTTGCCTCATTTGTTCTTTAATAGAAATGAATAAAAGTACCCTATGGCTCTCTATTTCTTCATAATAGTCTTTTCTTTTCCTTCAGAGATCCTGTCAACTACTGTGACTTTAAAGAATATATCCCTTCCTGAGGCAAGAGATAGGCTGTATTCACTGTTATTTGTGTGCTCCAAGGTTTATTTAAAGTAGAGGTTAGAAACTGGAAACTGCCCTCAGCTTCTGTCTGTGCAGAAAACACTTCCTGAAAGCTTGAGCTAGTGGTAGTTCACACGTTAAGCAGCTGTGTGTGTGTTTTCCCCACTATAGGAAATTCCTGGAATAACTCTTGTAACAGAAGACACTGCATTGCCTCTTATGAAGGTAAGTCCCTTATAGTGAGAAACAAAAGCACAGACATGACTGAAGTATTATAGTGGTTCCAAAAGGGATTGCAAATTGGCAGGGGAGGGGAGGGGAGGGCAAGGCAGTAGGGTGGGTTTTCTGGAGACTCCTTCCTACATGGGTAAGTGATCACTGAGTATGATACTATGGCAATTCTTTTTTTTTTTTTTTTTTTTTTGAGGGGGTTTTTCGCTCTTTTTACTCAGGCTGGAGTGCAATCGTGCGATCTCGGCTCACCGCAACCT